CTGGTCCCCCAGGATGACGCTGTTTTTAGAGGTCCCGGTCCCCCAGGATGATGCTGTTTTAGAGGTCCCGGGCTCCCAGGATGACGCTGTTTTAGAGGTCCCGGCTCCTAGGATGACGCTGTTTTAGAGGTCCCGGTCCCCCAGGATGACGCTGTTTTAGAGGTCCCGGCCCCCCAGGATTACGCTGTTTTAAAGGTCCTGGCTCCCAGGATGACGCCTTTAGAGGTCCCAGTCCCCCAGGATGACGCTGTTTTAGAGGTCCTGGCTCCCAGATGATGCTGTTTTAGAGGTCCTGGCCCCCTAGGACCTCTATGACTCTGTTTTAGACATCCTGTCACACACTCTCGGAGTCCTCGCTAAAGCACGTGGTCACCTTAGAGGTGGTGTTTTGGGGTTTTGGAAATGGTCAGCATCATTCAATGTCACACTGAGGCAGAGTGGCTGGCGTGGCCCTCCCTGCCTTCCAGTGAGGAAACCACATCTCATGGCTTGAACTCAGCCTCTTGTCCGACCCGGAGCTGTCTCACCGTTTGCCCGGGACATCCGTGCCCCTCCTGACCTGCCTCTGCTTCTTTCCGCAGCATCGTCGAGTGCCAGGGCCTCCCCATCGTGAACGGGCAGTGTGACCCTTACGCCACCGTGACGCTGGCGGGGCCCTTTAGGCAAGTTGCCTCACACCTCAGGGTTTCTGTCCTGGTCCTGGGGAGGCTGGGGGCTGGCTCTGACATCACGAGGCCACTGCCTCATTTGGGAGGAGGCAGGAGGATGCACTTTGAGATAGAAGATGTGATTTTTACTTCCTTTGTTTTCTTTATTGCTCTAAAGTTGCTTTGTAGAAAACGAACCCGTCGTTCTCATCACGCTGGGTATTTTTGGCGCAGTCAGTGTTCCTCATTTGCATACCATCTGGAGCTGGAGACAAACAGAAATATTTATAAAATAAATAAAGGCAATAAGTGACTTGTGCATTTGAGAGCTCAGTTTTACAGCCGAGAGACTTGGAATCAGCAGCGTTGCTTTAATCCCAGTCCCTTCTCTCTCGATAACAGATCGGAAGCAAAGAAGACAAAAGTGAAGAGGAAGACCAACAACCCCCAGTTCGATGAAGTGTTTTATTTTGAGGTTGGTGTCTTAGGGGGTGAATGTCAAGTGGACACTCTGTGCCTGTGACACATTGGCAAAAAGTCTGGATCAGAACCATCTCAGTCTCTTTCCTCTGGAAGTTCCTTCCGGAGAGGAGGGAGCCCAGTGGGCCGGCCCTGGGGACTGGACCCATGGCCCCCAGGACTTTCCCTCCCCTCCCGAGAGAGAAAGCCTTTCCTTGTCTCCCAAACTGGCCCAGATTTGAGTTAAAAGATGACAAATTAATGCTTTCCAAATTACCAGGACTTTGGGGTTTTTTGTTGTGTTTTTGCCTGCTCTGCCCGAGTGTCCCTGGGTAGGCAGAAGGCTTGTTCCAGTGGAAATAGGCAAGTTTTCAAAGCAAAGGGGGTAAAGGATTCGGACCCAGAGAGCCTCTGAGAACGTGAAGCACCAAAATCTGTGAAAAGGAGGGTACAAGAGCTATCCCTGGTGGAGCAGGACCCACCACGCGGTTTTAGGACAGCCCCACCTCGTGGAGTGGGGACCTGCGTGTGACCGGCGTGGTTTTGGGACAGCCCCACCTCGTGGAGTGGGGACCTGCGTGTGCTTGGGATGGCCACATTCATGGAGTGGGGACCTGCATGTGTCCGGCGTGGTTTTAGAACGGCCCCACCTCGTGGAGTGGGGATCTACGTGTGACCGTCGTGGTTTTGGGACGGCCCCACCTTGTAGAGTGCGGACCTGCGTGTGCTTGGGATGGCCACATGCATGGAGTGGGGACCTGCATATGGCTGGCGTGGTTTTAGAATGGCCCTACCTCGTGGAGTGGGAACCTGCGTGTGTCCGGTGTGGTTTTAGAACGGCCCCACCTCGTGGAGTGGGGATCTACGTGTGACCGGCGTGGTTTTGGGATGGCCCTACCTTGTAGAGTGGGGACCTGCGTGTGGTTTTGGGATGGCCACATTCACGGAGTGGGGACCTGCATGTGGCTGGCATTTTTTGGGGATGGCCGTACCTCGTGGAGTGGGGACCTGTAATGGCTGGCATGGTTTCCGGACAGCGGAACCTCACGTGGAACGGGGACCTGCTGTGTGGCCAGCATGGTTTTGGGACGGCCCCACCTTGTAGAGTGGGGACCTGCCGTGTGGCCGGCATGGTTTTGGGACAGCTATGTGCAGGGCTGTTCCTTGTGGAGTAGGGGACCTACGTGTGGCCGCATGGTTTCCGGACAGCGGAACCTTACGTGGAGTGGGGACCTGCCGTGTGGCCGGCATGGTTTTGGGATGGCTATGTGCAGGGCTGTTCCTTGTGGAGTAGGGACCTACGTGTGGCCGCATGGTTTGGGGGCCACTGTGTGCAGGGCCGTTAGGCAGATGCTTTTCTCATCCGCAGACGTTCCTGTGCAAGGGCCGGTGAGGATGGATGAGGCCTCTGTGGCAGGAGCGTGGCCAGTCAGGCCTGCAGGGTCGGGCAGGCTCCCTGGAGCCATGAAGGCTGACTGGGACTCACAAGCATGCAGCTCTGGGGGTCCATAGGAGAAAGGGGCTCCAATGGGCCCCAAAGGCAGAGGTGGGAACTTGGTGACCGAAGCTGGGGCCAGGCTTTCAGGGCCGTCGTGAGGAGGGCTTTGGAGGTGGGATCTGTTTTCCGTCAGACGGAAGCCCTCACTGATAGGCGGAGAAGATGGTTTTGCTGGAGCAAGAGAGGCAGGGTGGGCCTGTTGGAGGGGCAGGAGGCCTGTAGCACGGACCAAGTTCCAGGTGGCAGCTTCCTGCTTGGGGAGGAGGCATCACCTCCACCTTTATGAGATCGGGAAGTGGGGGAAAGCAAATTTGAGGACAGAAGTGTATAGGTCAGGAAGGAGGAGGCATCTGGAGCCCTCAAGCAAAGCAGAGCACTGTCTCTCCATGGTCTTCACCTGAGATCACCAATCAGGAAGTATAAGCTCAGAGCTTAGGCAGTCTTAGCAACATGATGTTGCTGTGAAACCTTGCATCAGAACTTTGAGCTGAGAGCTCCTGAGCCCACATCCCCGCTGAGCCCTGGAGAAGGCAGAGTAGGGAGGGAGGCCGGGCAGGAGAGAGCCCTCCTCGTAAACACGGGTGGCCTGGTGCGTGGCTGATGGTGTTTAAATCGGAACTCGAGGTGGTGCCAGCCTGTGAGTAGGCCTCCTGCTCGGCTGCACGGGCCCTGCTGGCTGGCGAGGTGTCTTGGAGCCCCAACCCTTCACATCTCCACTCCCTTTCTGTTCTGAGGGACCCACGGTGCTGAGGCGCCAGGAGGAAGGCAGCAGCATCTTCGCCTTTCCAGAGTGCTGGGGTCTGGTGGGGGCTGGCTGGGTTCAGGCACTGCAGGCCTCACGCTTTTCACTTCCTGTTGGAAAATGGAACCTGGAGGTAGGGCCGTGGAAGTGCAGCTCTGGCTTTGTCTCCACGGCGGAGGGTAGAGAGCCCAGAGCAGGTGCTAGCAAGGGGCTCTTAGGTTCCCAGAGCCCAGCACCCATCAGCAGCTGCTTGGAGGGTCTGGCCGTGGCTGTGAACAGCTTTGGGCAGGTCCTCCCTAGGGGCACTGTGAATGGGAGATGCTGGCACTCAGGAAGCCAGGCCTGAATCCTGAATCACGCCTGGTGCCTTCCCGGTTGTGCGCCTTGAGTGGCACGTGGGTGAGCGCAGAGGTTAGGCGGCTGGGGGCTTGCGTCCGCGTGGAGACCCCTGCAGGGCGAAGCGCAGTCTCAGCACTTTCTCTCTCTCTGGCTCCAGGTGACCCGACCCTGTAGCTACAGCAAGAAGTCCCACTTTGACTTCGAGGAGGAAGATGTGGACAAGCTTGAAATCAGGTGAGTGAGAAAACCTGGCTCTGCATTCCCCTCTTGGCAGGTTTCACACAAGCTCCTCGGCTCTTTTGTGTTTTGTTTCTAAATATAGGGGCATAGATAGAAATGAATTTCCGTTTTCTTGGTAATTTTCACAACAGGATGTTAGAACTTGTGGCTGAAACAAGAGCAGGCAGACACCAGGTGGGCAAACCTGGAGTTATGACTCAGCTTGCAATACCTGCTAAGAGGCAAGGCCAAAGGTCCACATCCCATGGGCCCACAAGGCTTTGTCCACCTGGACCGGCAGGGGCTGGAGTCGTTCTTAGGATTTCGTTCTAAGCTCTCTGCCCTCCGTGGGTGCGGTCCTCAGAGGTCGCAGGGCCTGGCATGCTGGCACAGTGCCAGGCCCTCACAGAGTGGGACCCACTGCTGAGGCTCTCGGTGGGCGGCCTCTGGGAAAACCCTGTACCAAGTGAAATGCTGGGGTCCAGGGTTCACGTTTACTGCATGTAGTCATAGAACCTGTGTCTTCAGCCTTTGCCTATGGAGCCCCCTACTGCACTTCCCTTTCCTGGCTCCTCAGTGCCTCCCACGGGAAACGGGGGACTCACCTGTGAGTTCACGCAGGTCAGGACGTGATCGCAGGCCCAGGATTTAGAGCGCTCCACAATATGGCTGATTCAGAGTCCTAGGGAAGGCGGGCCCCAGAATGTGCCCTTCCTGAACCCTGCTGGGTTCCCGCCTCCCAATAAAAACAAGCTGGACTCCTGTTTCTTTTGGAACGCAGCTTCTGTTCCCTCAGTATCAGCAAATGCCTCCAGCCCCTATGAAGAAGCAGATGAGCCTCCCCTGAAGCCCCCAAATCTTTATGTGTTAGACAGAGAGAAGTAAGGAAATGGCTCCCTCCTGACAACAGCTGACCCTGAGACCTTGAACCTGGGATGTCCAAGCCTGAGATGCACCTGAGCCTGGGATGCCCCCAATCCTGGGAGGCCCCTGAGCCTGGGATGCCCCCAAGCCTGGGATGTCCCCGAGCCTGGGATGCCCCCAAGCCTGGGATGTTCCCGAGCCTGGGTTGTCCCTGAGCCCACAATGCCCCTGAGCCTGCGATGCACCTGCATTCTTTAGGTCGTTTCGGAGAATGTGCTGGCCATCACTTCCTGGTCACACTGCCTCCCAGGGGCTGGCACCACTCCCGAGGGACCCTGACTCCAGAAGCTCAGGGTAATGGGACACTTGAAGCCAGTGTGTGGCTCAGGCCCTGTGGCTGTCAGGAGGCCTGGTGCTGTGGTTGAGAACTATAGGTTCTCCCATGGGACAGGGTTGGAATGTCCCTGATGTGGTGGGTCAGATCCGCCTCCTGTGGGTCAGGTCCTGAACTGTAGGAATGTCCCCAAGGTAGTGGGTCACATCCGCCTCCCGTGGGTCAGATCCTGAACTGTAGGAATGTCCCTGACTTGGACAGTCAGATCCACCTCCCGTGGGTCAGGTCCTGAACTGTAGGAATGTCCTCGAGGTGGTGGGTCAGATCCGCCTCCCGTGGGTAAGGTCCTGAACTATAGGAATGTACCCGAGGTGGTGGGTCAGATCTGCCTCCTGTGGGTCAGGTCCTGAGCTGTAGGAATGTCCACAAGGTGGTGGGTCAGATCTGCCTTCCGTGGGTCAGGTCCTGAACTGTAGGAATATCCCTGAGGTGGTGGGTCAGGTCCTGAACTGTAGGAATGTCCCTAACATGGACAGTCAGATCTGCCTCCCGTGGGGTCAGGTCCTGAACTGTAGGAATTTCCCGGACGTGGTGGGTCAGATCTGCCTCCCGTGGGTCAGGCCCTGAACTGTAGGAATATCCCTGAGGTGGTGGGTCAGGTCGTGAACTGTAGGAATGTCCCTGACATGGACAGTCAGATCTGCCTCCCGTGGGGTCAGGTCCTGAACTGTAGGAATTTCCCGGACGTGGTGGGTCAGATCTGCCTCCTGTGGGTCAGGTCCCGAACTATAGGAATGTCCCCGAGGTGGTGGGTCAGATCTGCCTCCCGTGGGTCAGGTCCTGAGCTGTAGGAATGTCCACAAGGTGGTGGGTCAGATCTGCCTTCCGTGGGTCAGGTCCTGAACTGTAGGAATGTCCCTGACGTGGACAGTCAGATCCACCTCCCTTGGGTCAGGTCCTGAACTGTAGGAATTTCCCAGACGTGGTGGGTCAGATCCGTCTCCCGTGGGTCAGGTCCTGAACTATAGGAATGTCCCCGAGGTGGTGGGTCAGATCCACCTCCCGTGGGGTCAGGTCCTGAACTATAGGAATGTCCCAGACGTGGTGGGTCAGATCCGCCTCCCGTGGGTCAGGGTCCTGTGGAATGAGAGCGTCCATTGGGAATATGGCAGCTGCCCTGGTGTCCCAGCCCCGCATCAAGTCTTGGATGCTCTGAGGTCCCGTGTGCCCCCTGTTTGCTTCTCTCCCTTCTTGCTTTAAGTCGTAAGGGAGGGTCCTCTCCACCGATTCTCAGGGTTTGAGCTCCATTTTTTAATGTTTTGGCCTAAACCTTAGTTTCTAGTGCTTCACGGTACCGAGCCAGGGGCCCCGAGACCCTGGGCCGGGCGTCCGAGGCTTCACGGTACCAAGCCAGGGGCCCCGAGACCCTAGGCCGGGCGTCCGAGGCTTCACGGTACCGAGCCAGGGGCCCCGAGACCCTGGGCCGGGCGTCCGAGGGAGCCCTGCTGGACCTGCCTCCCCAGGGACTCACAGAAAAGAAAGAAGAACCATCGCTGTTTTCTATTCACACCAAGCTTTGAATTCAGGAACGAAGTCCTAGTCATTAAATTTTTTAAAAGCATCCAAAACATGTTTTCAATATTTCTCTTATTAAAGGCAAATGCGCCTGCCTCGCCACTCAGAATGTTTCTAAAGTGTCCATGGGCAGATCGGGGGTTCCCTCGTGTTCCTTCTGAAAGTAACACGCTGTGGGCTCCTGTGTGACCTGCCAGCCTTCCCCAGCCCCAGTTGAGACTGCTCCTGTCAGACGGGCAGGGCCTCTGTGGTGCTGTTGCCCCGCAGAATTTGCAAGGGAAACAGAATGACCATTCTGGAATCTTCTCCCCCTGGGGGATGCCCCTGATGGCCACAGTGCGGTTAGGCCTGTGGGGTTTCAACCCCACGGGTGGGGCCGACTGCACATGACTGTGGGGTTTCAGTCATGTGGGTGGGGCCGGCCACACGTGACTGTGGGGTTTCAGGCTCGTGGGTGAGTCCTGGCCACGAGGGACTGGGGTATCAGCCCTGTAGACTTATTACAGCTGCGGATGCTGTGTGTCTCTGTCCAGTAGAATTTCACGGCCCCAGGTCTGAGTGGACACACACCATCCTGCACTGGGACAGAGTTAGTGGGAGCCGCTGCCCTGTTAGATGTTAGCAGAGGCTCCACAGTGCTGGTCCTGGGCTGGTCCTCGAGATTCGGGGACTGTGCTGTGGTTCATGGCCACAGGTGGCCCAGCCACAGTTCTCCCTGCTGTGGTGTGCACAGCCCCTGAATCCATTTCATGTCTCAGGTCATGAGCAGTCAGTGGAGACAGGATTCTACATTCAGGGCCAGGGGCTTCACAATCACCGGGTTTTGTTTCAAGGCATGTTTTCACGTTGAAAGCAGAGAGTCCCTGGCTGTGGAGTTGGGCAGCCCGTCCTCCATGGGCACCGCCCTCTCTACACCCAATTTCTCCATCATTCCCTGTGCTGAGCCCTGCAGATGGAGGCTGCCAGGCCACATGCTGGGGTGGCACTAGAGGCACACGCCACAGGGCCCTGGCGGTCTTGCTTGCCTGCCATGCACAGGCTGCTTGTGCTGGGTCTGTTGTGGGCAAAGGGAACAAATGGTGCCGGAGCCAAGAGCGGCAGCAGCCACGTAGTTCCTGGGCAATGCAGGGATGCCCAGCTCCTTCCTGGCGTAGAGGCTGGGGTCATGTAACTTCCTCCGATCTAACAGCCTGGGCCTGCGTTCAGGCCCACGGCCTTCCGCCTTCCTCTTCCTGCCCATTCACCCCTGGGAGACACTCTTTATTCCAAAGCCACAGGCTGGTCTGGCATGTTTTAAACGTGCTCCATGGGCCGATGTGTTTTAAATGCTCTGTGGGATGGTGTGGTTTTTTTCTGGTTTTTGTTTTATTTGTTTTCTGAGATGGAGTCTCGCTCTGTCACCCAGGCTGGAGTGCAGTGGTGTAATTTCGGCTCACTGCAACCTCTGCCTCCCGGGTTCAAGCGATTCTCCTGCCTCAGTGTCCCAAGTAGCTGGGATTACAGGCATGTACCACCATGCCGGGCTAATTTTTTGTATTTTTAGTAGAGATGGGGTTTCACTATGTTAGCCAGGATGGTCTTCATCCCCTGACCTTGTGATCTCCCCGCCCTGGCCTCCCAAAGTGCTGGACCGCAGGCGTGAGCCATCACACCTGGCCTAGCTGTCATGTTTTAAACATGCTCCATGCGCTGGCATGTTTTAGATGTGCTCCGTGGGCTGGCATGTTTTAGACGTGCTCCGTGGGCTGGCGTGTTTTAGACGTGCTCCGTGGGCTGGCGTGTTTTAGATGTGCTCCGTGGGCTGGCGTGTTTTAGACGTGCTCCGTGGGCTGGCGTGTTTTAGACGTGCTCCGTGGGCTGAGCCTCGATGGAGACTCTGGAGAGGTGCAGCTGGCTCCACCCTGCTCCTTGGGGGACAGAGCATGGCTGGTAGTCTCTGCTCCACCCGGGCTGCTCATCATCGGCTAGAGCTGTACCAATGCCGTTTTTCAGAGTCGACCTCTGGAATGCCAGTAACCTGAAGTTTGGAGACGAATTCCTGGGAGAACTAAGGATCCCGCTGAAAGTCCTGAGGCAGTCCACCTCCTACGAGGCGTGGTAAAGTGACCTTGTACCTGCAGACTTCTGCGTCTCTGAGAGCCACAGAAACACCTTTCTGAGCGGAAAGGCCCAGAGGTTGCGCATGCTGGTCCTTGACTGTGCCCGGCAGCCACCTGCTCTTACTTTGCATGTAGCTCTGACAAGCTCTAGCTTGATGAGTTTCTGCTCCACAGCAGAGGAGAAACTGCAGGCGAGGAGAGGCGACAGGGATCACACTGAGAAGAGACTCACGATGCTGGCACCTCAAAACAAGACAGGAAACGTGGGCGGAAGCAGCCCTGAGCCGCCAGCAGCTCATGGGGTCTGACCCGGGTGAAAGTGGGGCCCTAAGCCACCAGCAGCTCGTGGGGTCTGATTCCAGGTGAAAGTGGGGCCCTAAGCCATGAGCAGCTCGTGAGGTCTGACCCCAGGTGAAAGTGGAGATCCTAAGCCATGAACGGCTTGTGGGAGGGCCTCAGCCGCCAGTGCAGGGGCCCAGGACACACTCACGGCAGGTCCTGCCTTGCGGCTGCACTCCCACTCTTACTGTGGCTCCCAGCAGCACCTCCTCCTGAGGGTGCTTTGCAGGGTTCTTCACTCTACTCTGCACCTCTAGACCTCAGGGGTTGGCTCGGCCTCAGAACTCACCCCAGAGCACAACGTGTGCTGCTGCTTCCTGCCTTTCTTTCCTGTTTTCTCCAGGTGTTTGGTGTTTTGTGGGAAGGATCAGGCCATTGTTTCATTTTACCTCAAGTTCACGTGTGTCCATTAGTGACACATGGCACCTGGGAGGCCTGGAGTCACGGGAGGCATGCACTCCCAGGTGTGATCGTGTGCTGGGGCCTCACGCCTCATGTGTCTCTCTGCCCTGCGTGTAAGGCCAGCTTTCCATCCATCTTCACTCTGTGAAAGCCTAAGCTGAGTTAGGCTCTTTCCAATGCTGAGCAGACCCCTGGCCCTGGTAGCCAAGGCTGCCACGAAAGACCCCAGAGAGCCAGGGCTAATGCCTTAGACACAGCCTCTACCCACCTGAGAGCTTAGACTGCCTGGCCCCCAGGTCAGAGCAGAGAGGGGTCCTGGGTAAACACATGGGCTAGAGCCAAAGACGGAAGAGTGGCCGGGAGGAAAGTCCCCACAGTGATCACGTGCCCAGTTGGCCTGCTGGGCTCACCAGCCAAGGTCCCACCCCATGACACCAGAAGCCACTGCACACTTCGGTTGAAATAATTTCCATGTCCACCTGCTGCTGCCACTGTTGGTGTGGGTGTTCACAGTGATTACTGATGCTCCTGCAGTGGTTCCCAGATGCCCGTTCCCTCCGCGTCACATCCCCCACCCTGCCCCTGCCCCGTTTCCCCCACTTGACTCCTAGGTCTTTGGCTCCAACACTGGCCTCCTGGGGATCCTTGGTGACCAGCCCTTCTGGGGGTCTTCTGTGGGGACTTCCCGGGGGCTGCACTCTGGGGTCCTGCAGGGTCACCCTCCTGTCCGGGCGGCTTGAAGCAGGCAGCTGGGCTGCCCCAAGAGCTGCTCCTTGGTGACTGCAACCTCACACCGCGTGTCCCTCCCGCCCAGGTACTTCCTCCAGCCCCGGGACAACGGCAGCAAGAGCCTAAAGCCAGACGACCTGGGCTCCCTGCGGCTGAATGTGGTCTACACGGAAGACCACGTGTTTTCTTCTGACTATTACAGGCCTCTGCGGGACCTGCTTTTGAAGTCTGCGGATGTGGAGGTACTTGTCCACACCATGGCCTATGGGTGTGGGTGGGAGGTACCACTTGCCTGGGCCCCACCCCATACCCGGGCCCCACCCCAGAGGGCACCTCCACCCAAGGGGGCCTTTCCCACACCTCCCAGTCCGGCCTGTTTCTCACCTGGATGCCTGGACCCCTTTGCTGGGGGCACCGGTCCCTCTGTAGCTAGAGCTGTAGGAGCCTGGTGGGGCTGAGGACTCCCCACGTCATCTGAGGGGGACCCTGCCATCAGGGTCTCTCTGTTGCCTCAGGGGCCCTAGAACCGGCTGCATTTGGGGATTGCTGGGAGGAGGTGCAGACGTCCCTCCAAGGGCCCGGCCAAGCAGCGGCAAATGGGAAGTTTTGATGCTTTTGTGAAATGCGTGTGTTTCTGTCTCGGCAAAGAGGCATGTCTAATGTGTCTGGAAGTGAGACCCCAGCCAGGGTGAGAACAGGCCTCTGGAGTCCCACACCCCGGGCCACAGCACTGACCCTGCCCCTCCATGCAGCCTGTGTCAGCGTCCGCGGCCCACATCCTGGGTGAGGTTTGCCGGGAGAAGCAGGAGGCAGCGGTCCCGCTGGTGCGACTCTTCCTGCACTATGGCAGGGTGGTGCCCTTCATCAGTGCCATCGCCAGCGGGGAGGTGACGCGGACACAGTGAGTGCCTGCTCCGCCCATCCCACCCTGCCCTGGGAGAGCCACTGGGACCTGCTGGGGGGGATGGCGAGGTTGTTGCCCAGAACCACATCCTGGTGCAGGGCTTTAGGAAAGTCGAGGGCCCCAGGCTGCCCCAGAAATCCTGTTGATTCAGGCTTGCTTTCACAGACCCCGTTGATTTTTTTAAAGCCCCATTTGCCTTGGAAATCCCTGGGAGAGTGTGTGGGTGGGGAAGGGCGACGGCTCCCAGGGCTCCAGGACGGCTCAGGTCCTCTCCCAGGAGCACTTTGGGAGCCCACGAAAATAGGGCACCCCTTCCCTCAGGACCTGCTGAGTGACGCTTCCCGCCGCCCTGTTCTAGAAACTTCCGGCTGCATCTGCAGCCACTGTAGCTAGCAGGGGGTTTACTTCTCCGCTGGCCTCAGATGCTGCCAAGGTCTAGTGCACAATTCTCTGTGCAGGCACAGACCGCAGAGGGCGGGAGGGCGAAGGCCAGCCAGCTCCCTGTCAGCTGGCGGTCACGCGCACAACCAGGCAGTTCCCTCTGGCCCTGTTGACATAGGACTGTTCCGTGGTCAGGTCTTGAGCACCTGGCCTGGCCGTGCTCCTGGTAAAACGTCAGGAAGCCGACTGATGGGCGTGTGCAGGCGGGTGCTGGGGCAAGGCTCTGTTCTGACCGCGCTTCCGCGTCCTGGGAGACAAACGCTGTCCCCACCGCCATTTCCCAGGGACCCCAACACCATCTTCCGAGGGAACTCACTGGCGTCCAAGTGCATTGATGAGACCATGAAGCTGGCAGGGATGCATTACCTGCACGTCACCCTGAAGCCTGCCATTGAGGAGGTGAGCGCAGGGCCCAGAGTCCTCAGCATCGCAGGGCGTGGGGAGGGCCTCCCTCAGACGGAGAGCAGCATGCAGGGATCCAGCCGGGCAACAGTCAGGCTTGAGTGTCCGCCCCTCCGGGCTTGCTGCAAGGCTGCTGTTTCTTTCGCTTTAACTAGGGGATGTTCCCTGTGTGCTCAAGAACCTTCCAAATTCTCCCAAATTAAAACACCTACATGCAAGAAAAACCTGATTCTTCCCAGGGAGACCCTCTTTCTCCACATGCCCTGGGGTCCCTTGTGTCCAGGCCTGGCCGCGTGGCACGTTTGAGCTGAGCACCCAGCCCTCACCCGACCCTCTGATGCCTGCCGGTCTGTGCCCCCTGTTCATGAATGGCTTTGTAAACAGGCTCTTTGCCAATGTGCAAAAATTTAACAGTATCCTCGTTTGCTCTGTTCTCGAAATCCTGGCAGCATTTTGAAGTAAAAATATGATCAAAGTCTGGGGTGCACATCCCTTTCTGAGAAAACCTGGTGCATCTGATCACGGCATGGATTGGCCCCGTGCCCGGCATTTGTGCCTGACCTTTCGCTCGCCCCTTGGCAGCCGGTGACATGTGCCCTGACACACGCCCATGGTGGCCCCCTTGCAGCCGAGGCTCGGGGCTGATACCACCCCACCGTGGCCCTGCCTTCTGGCCGGCCTCACCATGCCCCTCTGTGCCGATGGCCGGGCTCAGGGAGCTGTTGCGGCAGTTTGTGAACGAGGCTCGGAGTCTACGTCTCAGCCGTGCCCGAGACCCCCTCCTTTCTCCCTGCCTGTGCCCCCAAAACCCACTCACAGAGCCCCATCTTAAACCTCTCCCCAGATATGCCAGAGCCACAAACCCTGTGAAATTGACCCTGTGAAGTTGAAAGACGGAGAAAACCTCGAAAACAACATGGTAGGTTTCGTTCATGAACAAACACAACCAAAGCCAGTCACCTGCTGGGGGTTTTTCAGCCGGGGGCTGCTGGGAAGCTCCGTCTCACCTGTGACCCCAGTGGGGTGGGAGCAGGATGGGACATGAGGATACCTGCTTCCCCCGCTGCAGTACACCAGCTGCACTGCTGGGAGGCCTCGGCCGCCACCTTTGGCCCAGCCTGCGCCCCCAGCTCTGCCTCCCCTGGGGGTCCAGCCTGCGCACAGGGCTCTGCCTCCCCTGGGGGGTCCCAGCCAGCTCTACTCCCCCTGGGGGTCTGGCCAGCTCTGCCTCCCCTGGGGATCTGGCCTCTGTGCCCAGCTCTGCCTCCTCTGAGGGGTCCCAACCAGCTCTGCTTCCCCTGGGGGGGTCCTGCCAGCCCTGCCTCCCCTGGTGTGATGGCTTCTCCCCCTCCCTGTTCCTGGGACAGGAGGGCCTCCCCATGCTGTCCCCGCAGCTGTGTCTTGCGTTTTAAAACAGCAAAACTCCCTGATGTTGAACTTTCCCAGCATGTGAGTCTCTTCACATCACACGTCATGCGGAGCGTGGTGTTGGGGCATCTCTTATGTAAATGGAAGGACAGAGTTCTTACTTGGGGAGGCAAATTCTAGTGAGTTCCTTCCATTCCCCGCTCAAAGTCAGGGCAGAGAGGGGAGCCAGCGTGGGGCCCTGAAGAGGGCATGGTGAATTTCACAGATGAATCACCGCGGCTCCCAGCACGTATTTTGAGGGGTGGCTGTTCACACGCGTCTCGCTGCTATGGCTGCCCTGCACCCGCCCTCAGTCCCTCCCGACTCACCCCTCCCTGGGTGTGCCCTGGTACCAAACGTGCCCGCGAGCAGCCTCAGGAGTGGGTCCCAGTGCCACATCCTCTCGCAGGAGAACCTACGGCAGTACGTGGACCGCGTCTTCCATGCCATCACCGAGTCTGGGGTGAGCTGCCCAACCGTCATGTGTGACATCTTCTTCTCGCTCCGGGAGGCGGCGGCCAAGCGCTTCCAGGGTGAGGCCCCCAACATGCTCATGCCACTGAGAAATGACTGCGGCCCGTGCAGGCTGACCCCCACCCAGGCTGAACACCCCCACCCCCACTGCTGAGAAACGGCCATGGCCCGTGCACGCTGACCCCCACCCAGGCTGAACCCCCACCAGACTAGAGCCCCAGGATCGTGAATCCCAGTTCAGACGCTGGATTTTCCTGGGGTTTTGTGTCCGGGCCAGTGCTCCCCAGTTCACGACTGCAGGGGTCTCTAGGGCCCCCAGCCCTGGAGTTCACAGTAGTCTCAGGCAGGGCTGGCTGGGCTTAGTCGGGGTGGGAGGTGAATTTTCCTGGTATGGCACCCCCTCACACCTGGCCTTCCCAGTGGTTTATTTTTCTGGCTGACCCTGGTCGGGTGGGAAGTGAATTTTCCTGGTATGGTCCCCCACCCCGGTTTTCCCAGCAATTTATTTTGGTGGCTGACCCTGGCAGGGCCCAGAGTGCTGTCAAGGCCTCTGTCTGCCCACGTCTTTGAGACAAGACCCCTGGAGGAGCTGCGCCTTCCTGGAACCCCCAAGCCAGGGATCCCCCAGGGACCTGAGCATCGGGCACCCAAACCCCACTTCCCAACCTTGCTGACCCATAGGGAGGAGCTGGGTGTCTGCAACCCCGTCTCCCACAATGCTCAGGAGGTACCGCGACCCGGCCGGGACCTGGGCTCTGGCGCTGCTGAGAGGCTCAGCGAGGGCCTTGCCACCAGCTCCTCCCTCCCTTATGGATCCCGAGCCTGGGTCCCAGTGTGTCCTGTGACCTCGAGACAGCTGCAAATACCCCAGGGGGCCATGGCCCTGCAAAGCCATCCACACTTCTGCATCCCCTCAGACAAATGCTGTCCCCGCTGCTGGTTCCCAGGACGTCAAGCAGCACATGACAAGGGGCACAGGGGTCCCGGGGAGGCTGTTCCCAAGCACATCCCAGTCCCAGGCCCACTTTGAACAAGGAGGAAGTAAAGAGATAAACACATCCTCTCGCTCAGATGAGCAGAGACCACTGCAGAATGAGTCTGTGACAGGCCAGGCACCAAAGGGGCTGCGCAGTGTTGTGGTGATTTGAGGTGGGGAGAGATAGAAACAGAGAGAGAGAGAGACAGATGGAGAGACAGAGACAGAGTGAGAGACAGAGAGAGAGAGACAGAGTGAAAGACAGAGTGAGAGACAGATGGAGAGACAGAGTCAGAGTGACAGTGACGGAGATACAGAGTGAGAGAGATAGACGGAGAGACTGAGAAAGAAGGAGCGAGGCAGACATGGTGGACAGAGATGCAGGACGGGCTGGACTTCCCTGTGGACCCTCCGGGGGCTGGGGCGTGATACCCCATGAGGCCACTGTGCCCCCGGGAAAGGGCAACCCACCTCTGTCTCCCGCAGATGACCCGGACGTCAGGTACACCGCAGTGAGCAGCTTCATCTTCCTGAGGTTCTTTGCACCAGCCATTCTCTCCCCCAACCTCTTCCAGCTCACGCCGCACCACACGGTGAGTGACCGGCCAGGAACCTCGGCCTCCTGAGCTGTCCTGGGACGCTGGCCAGGGTCAGGGCATGTGTGTGGCTGCGGGGGCTGACTGTGTGGAGTGTGTGGAATGTGGAGTGTGTGGGGAGCAGGTGTGGAGTGCGTGGGGAATATGGAGTGCATGGGGAATGTGGGGTGCCTGTGGAGTGCGGGGTGCCTGTGGAGTGCGGGATGCCTGTGGAGTGTGGGGTGCGTGTGTACTGTGGGGTGCCTGTGGAGTGCAGGGTGCATGTGGAGTGCGGGGTGCCTGTGGAGTGTGGGGTGCGTGTGGACTGTGGGGTGCCTGTGGAGTGTGGGGTGCATGTGGACTGTGTGGAATGTGGAGTGCGTGGGGAGCAGGTGTGGAGTGCGTGGGGAATATGGAGTGCGTGGGGAATGCAGGATGCGTGTGGAGTGCGGGGTGCGTGTGGAGTGCGGGGTGCCTGTGGAGTTTGGGGTGCCTGTGGACTGTGGGGTGCCTGTGGAGTGCGGGGTGCCTGTGGAGTGCGGGGTGCCTGTGGAGTTTGGGGTGCCTGTGGACTGTGGGGTGCCTGTGGAGTGCGGGGTGCCTGTGGAGCGTGGGGTGCGTGTGGAGCGTGGGGTGCGTGTGGAGTGTGGGGTGCCTGTGGAGTGTGGGGTGCCTGTGGACTGTGGTGTGCGTGCGGGGTGCGTGTGGGGTGCGTGTGGAGTGTGGGGTGCGTGTGTGATGCGTGTGGAGTCTGGAGTATGTGGAGTGGGTGTGGAGTGTGGGCTGCATGTGGAGTGTGAGGTGCGTGTGGGGTGTGAGGTGCATGTGGGGTGCGTGTGGAATGCGTGTGGAGTGTGGGGCGTGTGGGGAGTGCATGCAGAGCGTGTGTGGACGCTCCAGGTCCCAGAACTTCCTCATTGCGGGTTGTTCACTGACCTTTCTGTTTCAGCTGTTGTACGTTCCGGGAGAATGGAGACACCTTCACAAAGCAGTGGACGGTGGGGCCAGGGTTTTTGCTGCTGGTCACCGCCGTGCTCTCCCTCCCCTACCTATCACATATGGAGTATTGATGATGGACTGGTTGACGTGTCACCCACGTATTGAGTCAACAGAACTCTGTTCAGCACCAGCTTGCACCAGGCCCCTATGTGGTTTCTGGGGCTGTGGCTCTCGGTGCGGGATCTGGGGTGATCGTGTTGCATGAGCAGGTGTGGCAGAGCTGGAAGGAGCTGGCCAGGGTGAGGGACGTGAGGGAAGGCCCATTACGTGCCACTTTTTTTTTTCTTGAGATGGAGTCTCACTCTGTCACCCAGGCTGGAGTGCAGTGGTGTGATCTCGGCTTGCTACAATCTTCACTTCCTGGGTTTAAGCAATTCTTCTGCCTCAGCCTCCCAAGTAGCTGGGATTACAGGTGTGTGCTAGCATGCCTGGCTAATTTTTTGTATTTTTAGTAGAGATGGGGTTTCACTATGTTGGCCAGGCTGATTATGAACTCCTGACCTCAGGTGATCCACCTGCCTCGGCCTCCTGAAGTGCTGGGGTTACAGGCGTGAGCCACTGCACATGGCCCCGGCACTTCTACGTTGGCCTTCAAACCCCGTGAAGGCTGAGATGAGCCCCAGGCACGGCCAAGAGGCTCAGCGCCCCAGAGCGGTGACCCCAATGCCTTCTGCTGTGAGATGCACCCTGCACGCTGGGCCGTGAGGGTGGGTCCCCGTGGTGCCCTCCGACATTGCCTGTGGGATGTTCTCAGCAGCTCCTGGGACTGTGGGCACCACCCCTCCCGTCCTGTGTCCGCTCTTGCTCCACAGCTCACTCACCAACCACAGCGGCTCTGGGGTGACGTCTGCATCTCATCCTTGGTGATTCTGGGGCAGTTGCAGCATTTCTGTGAAGCTGGCACAGACCTTTCTCCTCCCCACCTCCCCAGGACCCCCAGACGTCCAGGACGCTGACGCTCATCTCCAAGACCGTGCAGACCCTCGGCAGCCTGTCCAAGTCCAAGTCTGTGAGTCTCTCCTTCAGTTTCTAAGGATAACTGATTCTTTTCTTTTTTCAGAAAATAGGTATGAAAAACTTCCCACATTAGAGAGAGTTGTAAGGTAAATCAACAGTAAAAGCCGGCACCGCATCCCCTCCTGACGCCCAGGACCCGAGCGCCCTGGTCCCAGCCACTTCTCCCCTTCTGAAGTAAACGCCTTGTCTTTTCCGGGAGCCTGTGGCTTGTTGCTGGTCCTGTGGCAGGGGCAGTGGGCGCATCTGACCTGTCAGGTGTGGGAGCAGCCGAGCAGGCCGGGCAGGTGGCCTGACCTAGGGCCTCCCGCGCACCCTCCACACACGATCACCTCCTCCCAATGCAGCAGCCACTTCCTCCCAACATGGCCGCCTCCTCCCACCACCCCCACTCTCTTCCCCAAGCGGCCCCCTCCTCCCACTGTGGCCCCCTCCTCTCCTGTGGCCCCCTCCTCCTCGCTCATGCACAGCCTCCTCCCCACACAGCCATCTCTTCCCCACGTGGGGCCCTCCTCCCCATGAGGTGCCCTCCTCCCCTGTGGCCCCCTCCTCCCCACTCAGCATTCTCCTACCAACGAGGCCCCTCCTCCTCACACAGCCATCTCTTCATGCACACCCTCCTCCCCACGCGGTGCCCCTTCTCCACGCAGCCCCCTCCTCCCCACACACACCCGCCTCCTCACACGGTGACCCCTCCCCACCCAGTACCCTTCCCCACGCGGCGCCCTCCTACCCACTCAGCGCCCCTCCCCATGCGGCACCTCCTCCCCAGCCCCTCTCGCCCTGTGGATATGAACTGCTGTCTCCCACCCTGTCCCCTCAGACCAGATGCAGTGCCGCTGGGCTGGGGTCCCTCAAGCGTCTGCCCTGTTTTCCCCTAAGAACACCTGTGTGTGACTCTAGTTTGGGGAGATCAAAGGCTAACAGTTGCAGGGTCCTGGGAGCAGTACTCACGGTGGGGGCTGAGGCTGTCTCTGCGGGAGCCCAGCCAGGGCAGGATGAGGCCTTCAGGTGCCCTCAGGGCTCCAGCTGGAGAGGGCTGGACCGTGGTGCACAGACATCCCTGGCCTCCTGGTTCCCTGTTCTTGGTGGGACCTGGGTAGAAGTGAGGGCTTTGGGGAGCAGGGCCCCCACTGAAGGAGCAGCCCCCTCAGGGAAGACGGGTTTCTCTGAGTCCCAGGGAATGAAGACATGCCATGCCCACAGGCAGGCTGAGGTGCGCTGACTGCTTTTCACCATCCAGGCCTCGAGCTGGGGGCTGGAAACTCCATAACAGGCACCTGTGCCTCCTCCGAGGTCTGCCCCAAACCCACCTCATTTCACAGCCAGGGAACCGTGCAGTGGCCTCAGTGTGGAAGCGACAGGAACTGGGGGTTGAGCCTCAAGAATGGTGCCTATGAAGTTGCCCGCCAGAATCCCTGGGGTGCCTCCCTTCCCCACATGACAGAGCTCCCTGCCCCCTCTTCCCACTTCGGAGTGGCCCTTCTGCCTCAATGAGAGTTGGATATGGTGGCTTTGGGACCCTGGCCCGTGGCTACAGCTTCCCAGGCAGCCTCATCTGCCCCCAGCATAGCTCTTCCTGAGCCTGGGACGCAGGTGTGAGGGACGCCGGGGCTGGGATGGAGTCACTGATGCCAAAGGGCTCTGGAGGCAACATGGGCATGCACGGGTCTGATGGTCTTGGTTCGTGCCTGAGCAATTTCTGCTATTCGTCCTCCAGGCTGCCCTGCAAACGCCTGGGTCTTCGAGTGTTTATCCTCATTTAGGCTTGAATAATTCTTGCCTCTAGATTTTTCGGATCTGGGCCGTGAGCCGAGGTGCTTGAGGCTGTCTTCAAGTGATCTCCGTTTCATTTTAGGCGAGTTTTAAGGAGTCCTACATGGCTACGTTTTATGAATTCTTCAATGAGCAGAAATACGCTGATGCAGTGAAAAACGTAAGTATTGACTCCCTCCGCAGCCCGTGCTGTGCCCAGGAGACAAAGCTGCTCTGTCACAATTTAGATAAAGCCCATGTGACACAGACTTGGCCTTTGATGGTTTAAACTGTCAGGGCATTCGATCCATTCGCAGTGCTGCCCAAACAGCCCCACCCCTAGCCTGGGATGCCGCCTTCTCTCGCAGTCTATAAACTCTGTGGCCTGACCGCCTCTGGGACCAACGTGGGGCCCTCACCTGTCCTGCTCTATGTCTGAGCCCCCAGCTGAGGGTGTGTCCCACCTTGGGGTGTGTGACGGCCGAGCTGATTCCCGGCTGCAGTCCTGGGGCCCACACCCACTGTCAGGAACGCCATGCATGGGAGAACACCCAGACCCCAGGGCTCTGCTCCTCCTGCTGTCCAGAGGTGATCTCAGCGTCTCTCAATGAAAACGGCATGGAAGGGACATGATGAGCTCAGAGCTGTCAGGGACAGACAGGGTCCAAAGAAGTCATGGGGCGGCAGAGCTGTGTGGAGTGCAAGCCCCTGCCAGGGAGGCCAGGACGGTGGCCAGAGGGGAGGCGTCCCCCAGGAAGCTGGTGGGATCCAGGTGGGCCTGAGCCTCCTCGCTGCTCAAGCCCTGGATTCCCCCATGAGCATCGCCCCTGGGTGGCCTCTACAGATGCAGGTTGATCTCCAGGCGTTTTGCCTGAGCCGGCCTTACCACCTGCTGTCTCTCACCTGAGACCTCCCGGGCAGAGCCGAGCTAGGGCGGCACAGTGGGGAGCAGAGGCCCCACTGCCCTCAGGGAAGGACTCACTTCTCCGCATTCTGTCTCCGCCTGTATCTGAAAGGAGGCCCCGGCCGCTGATGCCATTGTTCCAGGAGAGCGCGCTCATCTGGCATGTGGCTCCCTCCCAGTGACCCCATTTCTTCCCACTCTAGTTCTTGGATCTGATTTCGTCCTCGGGGAGAAGAGACCCCAAGAGTGTTGAGCAGCCCATCCTGCTTAAAGAAGGGTAAGGTGGCATCTGGCAGGGCAGGAGGGGAGAAATGGATAGGGGCCCTCATTCCCCAGGGCACCAAGCACATTCTGGAAGATTCCCCGGGTCGGGGCAGCCTCCTCCCTCGCTGGGAGGCAGCCTGGGGCTGGGGCTTTGGCCCCTGGCAGCAGCACGGCCTCCTGTGTGTCCTCTGGGACTCACCGGGAGGTACCCGGGACCTGGCCTCTGCCTGTGCCCAGCCGGTCAGTGGAGGGTGGCGAGAGGAGTCAGCTGAGTCACCAGCCATCAAGATATCTGCACCACTGGCAGCCTCGTCCACACCCGCACCTGGGGCTGGCTTCCCTCAGGGCTCCTGAGGGCTCTTTGGTCAGGAAACCAAGGTCAGAGGGGATGGCCTGGGACCTGTCCGCCGCCTTCTTGGTGCCCTTGGAGGCAAGTGTTTGTGCTCCACGGCTGCTCATGTCCACGGCACAGGCCCGTCCTTCCTTGGCCTCCACCCGGTGGCCCCTGGAGCATCAGAGGCCACCACCCTTCCTTGTGTAAATACTGACACATCTGCCCGATTCCACCAACCCGGTCCTGTGGCCCAGCTTCCCCTGCCAGTTGGGGCTGCACTCTGCTGGGCACGGCCCATGTTCCTGTTTGTCACGTGTTTGCGTAAACATCAGGGGCAAAGATGCAGCTTCAGTGCATGGGTGTGTTGCACAGTGCCAGAGCCAGGGCTGCCAGTGTAGTCGTCCCCTGAGCGGCCGCTTTGTGCTGACAGAGTGGTTTCTCCTCCCTCTCCTGCTGCTGCCTCCCACCTTTCCAAGGCTTCAGCATCTGTGATTCCAAACACTCCATGTCCAGAGCTCCCCAACTCCGTGTTTAGCTCCCACATACCAATGAGAAGCTAAATCCCTAAAGCAATGCCAGACACCCAGGAAGTTTGGCTTTTCATTTCTGAGTCGTCTCCCTTAAGGTAACAACCTCTACCTCCGTCCATGTTGCTGGAAAGCCAAGATTGCATTCCTCTTGACAGTGGAGTGTGTCGTGGTGTATTTATGCCCCACTTTCTCTACGCAGTCGTCCGTTGGTAGACACGTGCGTAGATTCCGAGTCTTTGCTGTTGTGAGTAGTTCAGTGGTAAACGTACGCATGCAGGTGTCTTTTTGGTACAAGTGCTCTTCCTTTGGGTGGGGGCCCTGTGTGGGATTGCTGGATTGAACGGCAGCTCTGCTTTTAGCTCCTTGAGAAATCTCCGTGCGTGTTCCTTGAGCACTGCGCTAATTTCCATTCCTCACCAGCGTGCAAGCGCTCATATCCTCCACGTCCCTGACAGCGCCTGTTCTTCTTCCACGTTTGTTTAATCGCAGTTGTTCTGCCTGGTGTGAGCTGGGGTCACAGGCGGCTCTGTTGGGCCTGGTGTGAGCCAAGGTTGCAGGCAGCTCCATTTTGCCTGGCGTGAGCTGGGGTCACAGGCGGCTCTGGTTCTCATTCCTCAGGTGATGAGCCAGGCTGGGCTCTATGTTGGGCGTGAACCAGGGTCACAGGCAGCTCCGTTCCACCTGGAGCAAGCCAGAGTCACAGGCAGCTCTGGTTCTCTGCTCAGGTGATGAGCCAGTCTGGGCTTTATGTTATATGCTTGTTGGACGTTTGTTTTCTTTTGAAAAATGTCTATTCCTGTCCTTTGGCCACTTTTAAATGGGTTATTTAAAAATTTTTTTTGTTGAGTTCCTTCTAAACTGTGGCTATTAGTCCCTTGTTGGATCCGTGATTTGCAAATATCCTCCCTTTCTGTGAGTTGCTGTTTGCTCTGCTGGTTATTTATTTTGCTGTGCAGAAGCTGTTTAGTTTAATTAAGTCCCATTTGTCTATTTCTGTGGATACTCCATTAGAGCGGTCTCTGCTCAAACCTGGACCATCCGTGGGTCACTGCTGGACCACACCCTAACAGCAGCAATACCCACATTGCTGTTTTCCTTTTAACTTAGTCATATATTAAACAATAACATTAGTAATACACACGTTACATAAGTTACAACATTCAAAGCAACAAATACTCATCCTGTAATCCCTAAAGCAATGCAGGACACCAGGGCTTGGGTGCCTGACGCTGAGAAGCTGCTATAGATGCCAGAGGTTCAAGGACAGGTGCTTCCCGGAGGCCCCAGACACAGCTGAGACTCCACCAGGTCCTTCCAGTGGCTGTGCTACATGCAGCTCATGCCAAGCTTTTGGTCCACCAGGACCCTGGGTTTCCCGCCCCTAATCAGCCTCTCCTCCAGCACCTCAGCTCCATCACGTCCCCAGACCCAGAGCCGTCCTTAGTGTGCACGCACAGGGCCACCCCGGCACCTTGGTTCTGCCGTCTCAGCCGGTGGTGGCAAGCATGTCTTGTGTGTTCCTCCAGGTGTGGAGGTGGTGAAGACCGTGTTTCCTGAGGGCTCCCTCCACACTGAGACACTCCCAGCCTCTGCCATCTCTCGGTTTTGTGTGCCCTCACCCACTGGGACACAGGACCAGGGCCTCCACAGTGCAGGGTATGTTTGCTGAGCTGAGTCAGCTGTGTCTGCCTGGGCTGAGCTGCTTTCAGCCCGAGGCTTCTGGCTCAGCCGCGGCTCCCGCCTCCACACGTGATGGTCCCAGTTAGAAAACCGACTCCTTGAGAGCCAGGTACCCTGACCAGGGCCGTGCAGTGAGGGGCCACTGCCTTCTCCGCTCAGCACTGCCGTGACCTAGAAACCCTGCTTCATACATGAAATTCACATGCAGCCTCATCCACCGAAGGCCCTCAGAAAGCTGGGGCTCTTAAAAAAATCCTAAAGCCAAACACATTTATAACAAGACTACTCCTCAAATCCAACTGCTATGTGGTCCAGAGTCTTCTCGGGGGCGTCCTCCTGCCCTCGAGGGGCCAAGCTCCCCATGGAGCTCCCGGTCCCACCCCACCCCTATCCACCAGGCAGCCCCACCCTGCCTGTCCCGCTGGTCCTCAGCAGCCTCCTGGGCTGACTTCCTGCCTGCGACTCCCTGGAGCTCGCGGCCTTCTGCATCCACTGGTTGTGAACCGTGCTGTCTGGTGTCTCCCGGGGCTTCTACATTCTCCTGTGGGCGTCCACAGGTCTCTGGCCGCATCTGGCTGTGTCGTTGCTCAAAGCCCCTCATCCCACTTCCGAGAGCATGTCGCTGGGCACCTCTCCCTGCGTGCTCTTTAAAGGGGAGTTGCACCTCCCCTGCACCTCCCCGCAGTCTCCCGGCGTGCTCTTTTAAGTGGAGTTTCGCCTCCCCCACACCTCCCCGCAGTCTCTGTGCGTGCTTTTCTAAGTGGAGCTGCATCTCTCTCCCCCAACCTCCCCTCCGTTGCTCAGCTTGGTGACTCGGCCACCGCCTCCACCTCTGGCCTCCAGTCATCCTGGCCGCTTTGTTCTCTAGCTCGGCCGCCGGTTCTAGTCAGGGACCCCCACTCAGCGATGAAGGCTGAGCCTCAGAGGGCCCTGGGCTGCCAGGAGGGCGTTCGAGGTCCCTGTCTGGGCCCAGACCTGGGGTCCTCCTCGCTGAGGCCTTGCGTCCTCAGTGGCCATCCTGTCTGCTGCTTCCCACATTTCCTGAGGACACAGCCCAACGGTGCCTTCCCACACTGAGGCTGGCCCTGAGGGAGGCGAGTCTGGTCTGGCAGAGGCACCACGCATGACTCCTGCTGCACCATGGGCGTGGGTTTTGTTGGCGAGTGTCGTCCACTGCCTGCCCTGGCCCTGAGCCGGCGACTGCACGTCCGCTGTGGGAGCATCGAGTTGGTATTTCTGGTGGCAGCACCGCTGTTGAAAGTTCGGTGTGGGAGGTGAGAGGATAGAGATCTCCCAGAACCTGGTGCCGTCACCACTTGGTGACTCAAAGCTAACGCAGTCAGCGCTGAACTTTTCCAAGGAGAGGCGTTGCCTTCCAATTTTTTAATCTCATTACTTGGAGTAAAAGGATAAGATATGGAAAATTCACCATCTGCCTCAGGTCTAGGAACGCAGAAAGTGGGAGTGTGGTTTGCGCCTATGCAGGGAGGAGGCCAAGGCCAGACGCCCCCGCCCCGTGCTCTTCACACAGGTTCATGATCAAGCGGGCACAAGGACGGAAGCGCTTTGGGATGAAAAATTTTAAGAAGAGATGGTTTCGCTTGACCAACCATGAATTTACCTACCACAAAAGCAAAGGTAAGGAGCAAGGCCGCTTTCCCTGGCTCCCGCTGGAGTGTGCCCTGGGACTGACATCTGCTTCTCGGGGTGGGGGGAGCCAAGGGGAGGAAGGATCGGGTGCTGCAGGCAGAGCCTGGCCGTCGAGACCCAGAGCCCTCTGCTTCTGGCTGTCCCTTCAAAGATCCCTGGAGGGTCTTTCAGACCTGCTGTCAGAAAGGTGAGGAAACCCAGCCTGCAGGAAACCAGCTTTCCCAGAGAACCAGTAAACGCAGAGCCTACATCAGTGAGGCCCTTTCCCGTCCACCGTCCCTTCTTCGTCCGGTCTCTGTCACAGCCACGGAGCCGTGCCCCCGAGGTGGACGGAGCTTCCCATGGCTTCCTGCCCCTCGCTGTCGGATCTGCTGGCTCAGATCTAGATTAGGAAATACGGAATGGCTTCTCCCCACGAGAACAGGGACGTGTCCTGCGGATAGAACCTGAGGCCACGGCAGCGTGGGGATGCAGGGATTGGTTCCAGCCTGTGTGCGTGGCAGGGCTGGGGGTCCCAGGCCTCCTCAGCCCCCATAGCTGCAGCCTGTCAGTGACTCAGCCGCCACGCCTGAGGAGTGCAGGGCGCTTCCCCCTGCCCAGGGTATCCCGGCAGAGACCCCACCACCGGCTAAGACTTCCCCCCCGACCAGGCTGAACCCCCTGACTGAGACCCCCAGCAGAGACACCTCTGGCAGAGACCCACCCTACAGGGACTCCCTGGCAGAGACTTCCTCAGTAGAGATGCCCCCTTGGCAGAGACACCCCCAGCAGAGACCCCTTGGCAGAGATGCCTTTAGCAGAGACTTCCTCTGCAGAGAGCTCCTCAGCAGAGAACCCTTACAAAGACTGCCTTGACAGCCCCTCAGCAGAGAACCCCTGACACAGACCCCCCTCAGCAGAGACCCCCTCAGCCCCACCTGGATGCCAGCCAGGACAGCAGGGACCGCATCTGCTGACTGCCCCTCTCTGCTGCAGGGGACCAGCCTCTCTATAGCATTTCCATCGAGAACATCCTGGCAGTGGAAAAGCTGGAGGAGGAGTCTTTCAAAATGAAGAATGTGAGTCCGGTGTCCCCAAGCCTCACTTTTGGGTTGAGGCTCGGCCAGGTTTTGTCTGCTCTTCTGGTCCCCGGCCCTGGGCTCACCCCTTCCCCACCCCCTGCACTCCAGGCTTCTCAGAGGCTCCGTATTACTCGGGCTGGTGCTGGTGATTTTGTGTCGAATCTTATACCAAAGCAGCCAGGCTCTTCGTACCCGGGGTCACGGGGTGGGGTAGAGCCTGCCGGAAGGCAGGGCCTGAGCTGTTCCAGGTGGCTTCCCCTGCAGGGTCCCCAAGGTCAAGGGGCCCTCTGTCAAAGGACACCCCAAAAACAGGCTTGGGACTGTGTAGAATTTTTTTGAACCTTTTAAATTTTGATATAATTTTGAATTTATAGAATTTGCAAGAGTAGAATAAATACTTTCCACACACGCTTGAACAAAACCCACACGTGGCCTCGTTCTTCATCATCCTATTCATCCTTCTCTTTCCACGTGTCATACCCAGACCCACACATGGCCTCGTTCCCCATTGTGTTCATTCATTCTCTCTCCACGTCATACCGAGACCTACACGTGGCCTCGTTCCTCATCGTATTTATTCCTTCATTC